GCCCGAGCCACAGCGCCGGCAGCCCGTGCGTGGAGGTGGACGTCCTGGGCGCGCCGCTGGACAGCTGCCACTTCCGCACGAAGCCCATCCACCGCAACACCCTGAACCCCATGTGGAACGAGCCGTTTTTCTTCCGGGCTCACTTCGAGGACCTCCTCTTCCTGCGGTTTGCGGTCGTGGAGAACAACAGCTCGGCCGTCACGGCGNCCTTCCCAAATGGCCCCCGGGGCACGCCTGCGCTGGTGAAGCCTCCGCAGAGAGGAGAGGAGCCAGAGGAGCGAGGGCTGGGCTGTGCTCGTGGCTCAGTGGGGCCGAGGCGGGAGTCGGTGCCCGAAGCCAGGGCTGGGCGCTGGGGCAGAGCGGGGGGCGGGGAACCCCGAGCCGCGGCGGGAGCTGCTGAGTGCTGGGCGGCTTCGCTGCGGGCCCCCAGGGAGCTCCCCGGCCGCACCCGCCAGGCCGTTGGTTCACTTCCTCCGACGTTGGCAGGCATAGGAGCTGGGTGGGGCTCTTAGTAATGAAATGCAGACTTTGCCCTGGCCAGTATGCTCAGTGGTCAGAGCGTTGGCCAGCTCACCAAAGGGTCACGGGTTCGACTTCCGGTCAAGGGCACGTGCCTGGGCTGCAGGTTCAGTTCCTGGCCCCAGTCGGGTGTGTGCAGGAAGCAGCCGATCGATGTCTCTCACATGGATGTTTCTCTTTCTCTCTCTCCTCTCTCCCCCTCTCTCCCTTCCACTCTCTCTAAAAATCAATGGAAAAAATATCCTCAGTTGAAGATTAACAACAACAAAAAATGCGGACTCTGTGCAGTAGGATCGGGTGGGGCCGAGATTCCGCATTTCAGACAAGCCCCCGGAAAGGCCGGCCCTGTGGGTCGCCTTTGAGAACCAAAGCTGTGGGACAGCCTTCCTCCTGTGAGCACACCCAGGCCGTCACCTCTGAGCCCCGCAGACCCAGGCTCGTCCCTGCACTTTGTTTTCCTGTTTCAAGTAGCGCGAGGTTAGAAACGGTGCCTGGACAAGTTAATTACCGCTGGGTGGCGCACAGCGGTCCCCAGGGGCTGCCCTGTCCCGGGGGCTGGCACCAGGTGGTTGCATGCCTGTTGCCACCCCCTGCTCGTCAGAAGGTCTTATTTCTCCCTATCATTTCTTGAGAAGAGAGAGAAAGAAACATCAGTTTCTGTTGTTCCACTTGTCCATTCGTTGGTTGATTCTTGCGTGTGCCCTGACCGAGGAGCAGGCCCACAGCATTGGTGTTTCAGGACGACACTGTCACCACCTGAGCTACGCAGCCGGGCCTCTGCCTGCCGTCTCCAGGCGGAGCTCTGCAGCCCGCGGCTAACAGGCTTTTCCCATTTGTGCTGTATTCCAGGATATCGACATCTCCAGCTGCGAAACCTCCACAATGAGGTCTTGGAAATCTCTAGCTTATTCATAAACAGCAGAAGGATGGAAGAAAACTCCTTGGGCAGCTCTGTGCCGGCCTCTTTGGTAATTAAGCTCTGTTTCGCTCGGCATGTTTGCAGGGATTGCTGTGCTGGAGGTAGGCTTACTCCTGATACAGGAAAGTGCTCACGGAGATCATATTAATAATGGCTGACACTTGGCACTTTCTAAGCACCTACATATATATTAATCCACCCAGTCCTCTCAGTAATTTTGAGAGCTATGAGTATTATCTCCATTTTACAGATGAGGAAGGTAAGAGCTAAGTACCTCTGAGGTCACACAGTGATAAACCCAGATTCATCTAGTGCCAAAGCCCATACTCTTTACTTATTTATTTTTATTGTTGAGGGTATTACAGATGTCCCCCATCCCCGTGCCGTCCGACCCCTTCACTCCGCTCCCATCCCACCCCAGGCCTTCGCTACACTATTGTCGGTGTCCGTGGGTTACACATAGAAGTCCTCTGGTTAGTCTCTCCCCCTCTCCTGCCCCTCTGAGTTCTGTCAGCCTGCTGCATGCTTCCATGTCTCTGGTCCTATCTGCTTGTCAGTTTATTTTGTTCATTAGATTCAACATGTAAGTGAGATCATGTGATACTTGTCTTGCTCTAATTGCAAAGCCCCTGCTCTCACTGTGAGCCAACGTAACATGTGGGGAAGAAGCTAATGAAGCAGACCTTTGGGAAGGATTCAGTGCTTCTAGAAACTTTAGGTTAGACCAGGGAAACCCTCTGCTTCTCCAGTGGTGCAGGGGCAATGTCAGGTGAGCAGGGCTGGGGTGGGCAGCCAGCTGCTGCCGTGGATGTGTGACCTGCACCCCTGCAGTTGGGGAGATGCAGAATCTGCACCCTTGGGAATGGGAGGGGAAGAGTGCAAACCAAACAGGTTCCCCAGGGAAGGTTCTTGCCCGTTGGAGTTTGAGAACTGCAGGACCTGCGGTCACTCCAGGAACCCAGGGTCGTTGACTAAAACAAGCAACACCAGTTTCATAAACTGGTTCATTCCATTCTGCTTGCTCTTTAAAAATCCATTTAAAAGCGTGTCCATCAGTTACCGCTTTACATGTTTAACAGTCATCGCTGTGGTATCAATCTTACATGTCAGTGGCGCCCCAGCGACCCCCGGAAACGCACCTTCTACGCTCACGGAGGCTCTGGCTTGCCCACCCCCACCGCCACATAGCCGGCTTTCTTCCCCTCGCCGCCAGTCTCTCCTCTGTCTCCGACGTTGTTTTCCTAGGTTCTCCTTCTCTTCCCTTCACTGCGTGGCCAAGGTTAAGGAACAGCACTTTGGCCAAAGTGGAGGGAGGCACTGCCTCTGTCTTGTGCAGAGGCCTGGGAACCAGGGTCGGGGCTGCCTGGCACCAGAGAGGAAGAATCAGATGCTTTCAGAGGGGCCAGGAGGCGCTTCCTGCGCGATTCTGGGGGGTCGCCCTCAATGCCTATCGGAGCTGAAGATCCCACACGTGAAAGAACCAGTTTTCCTCACAAAACTTCTGGCACCAAACATGTCACGTCTTTTTCTGATGTTATGTCTCCAACTCTCCGGCACCGGCTGGCCGTCCTGCCTTTCAGTTCGATTCTGACACTGTCTACCTGGAGTCAGCATCAGATCCTATAGGTTAAGGGCTCAGTCCCGCAAGACCACCCACACTTCAGATGCCGGCTGCATGTCCCTCCTCGGGTTCAGTAATTTGCTAGAATGACTCACAGAGCTCAGGAAAGTGTTTTGCTTTCCATAATATTTTATTTATCATCTTACCATCCAAAATTCTCAAGAGAGATGGAACTCAGTAGACACTGTTGGATGTCAGTTCAGAAGTAAGGACCAACATACACTTCAGATGATATCAGTCCTGTGATTATGATGGAAAGAGATAGTGTTTTGTGAAATAAACTAATATTTTGGTGGTGTGCTGCTAAATATCCTCACTAGACTATTAAAGAAGAGGCACCATTGCTTCTTCAACCACAAAAGGATGGGTCAGGGTGTCAGGCATGCTCTGCTTCTGCATCTGTGTCCCTGTGCACACCTCTAAGAACTAGCATGTCTGTGGTGAAGATAGTCTAGAAATTTCATGATAGGAGAATGAATGGGAAACCATGTGCTCTTCCTTGATAGATGTTCAGTACAGAAGAAAGAAAATGTCTGCAGACTCACAGAGTCACGGTGCATGGGGTCCCAGGTCCAGAGCCCTTTACTGTCTTCTCTATAAATGGAAACACCAAGGCAAAGCAGCTTCTCCAACAAGTAAGTGCACTGAGCCCACGTGTGTGTATCTACACACACACACACACACACACACCACACACACACACACACACACACCACACACACACACATCCATGTTGGTGATTTGCCTCTTGATTATCTGTGATGTCCAACATTGAGATCCACCCTAGGAATGACCTGAGAGGTCTTGGTGCCACTAAACAAGCTACCTTAACCTATAGAGAAGAATTTTTAAGAACCCTTCAGCCACATAAAGAACACCGGGTCCATGAAAAATAAAGACTAGGATGAGTGGCTCTCCGACCATGTGTGCTGTTTCCCTCTGAGCCTGGAGATGGGCCTCATAGTCCCTCTTCATGCAGAGCTTGCTAATCAACCAGAATTTGCACATGAACTGAATAAAGTCTGTTTGTCATTCTAGGAGTTGGGTCAGATTCTTAGAGCATCAGGATGGACCCCACAGGCCAAGAAGACATCCCCTGCCCCTCCAGCGTTAGGCCTTCACTGCATGCTGTGCCCCTTCCCCTTGCACTCGATCTTGACCCTTGAGGCCCTACCCCTCTAGTGGCATGAAGAGGCACAGAAGGCCCCAAACAGGAGGATGAGAGCCTGTTACCCCAACCCCCATGCAGAACTGGCCTAAGCCCCTTCGTGCGGGGCCACGTCTGCTCCCGATCCCCCGGGATCTCGGTGGCCTTCTGCCCGCAGGGACGCCACCCCACGGGAGGACTCACAGGAGAGAGAAAGCGAGACACAAAGAGCAGCATCCAGAGAGGGAGGCAGCTCCTGAAAAGAGCAGGCGGGCCCACGTGTAATTCCTTCTCTTACCGGACACTCCACTCCTGCCCGGTACAGTGGCCTAACCTCCTTGCCAACGTTTTATCCCTTATCTCACTTCAGAATTCCTTCTTCCCCTTGACAGGAGGCCAAGGGGAGCAGTGACCAAGGGAGTGACTGTGGGGCTCCCTCTGAAGTTAGGGCATATGCTGAACTGTCACTGGGATCATAGAATGGTTGGGGGAGTAAAACCCATTGAGCAACCACACATAATAAGTGTTAATAAGTAGCTCTGTCCTGTGAGGGGAAGTCCCTGTGGATGGGCCACCTTTCCCCCAACGTCTTATAATTGACTTAAGAGTCAGAGAAACAGCTTAAGTGTCAAATTTCATAGATTATCAAACAGAAGCTACTACCACATTGGGGGTTGTTTTTGGATTTTTTGTTTTTTAAGTCCATCAGCCCATGAACTTTAGTGTCAACTATCACAAAGCACTGTTGGGATTTGGGGGACTCTATAAAATGGGAAGATATTGAGCAAGGAAACATTTCCATGGCCCACCCATCAAAAGCAGCCCATTACTTTACTGTCACCCCATATGAATACCCGTTTGGCTGTAAAGCTGAACTGAGGAGGGCGGGACCCTGGCCCCCTCATGGAGGCGACAGTGCCGACTGACCTGCTCCTGAAAGCCTTGTGTCCTGGGTCACTCCTGTGGTGGTCGTTGCCTTGCCCCCAGGAAATCCAGAGCCCAGCACCCAATACCAGCCAAGGGCAGGGGGGAAGGGAGCTGTCATCCTG